TGCCGTAATTTTTTATGACAAATTATATGTTATTTTATAAATTATTCAATTTCAATAGTTTTATTGATTAAATATAGTTTAAACAATTTGTTAAATAAACTGAAATTAATTAATAAAAAACTTTAGTGTTATAATTTTTTAACAAAACTGTTTTTTTTTGCTACAAATTCGTTTAAATGGTAAAAGTAAAAGATGACTTTTACTAAAAATAAAATTTGTTTTTTCTGTTTTAACTTTAAAAAAAATCGCTTTTTTATGAATTCGGTACAAAAAAAACATTTTTTTGTAAACTCTTAGCCAAATTTAATGGAAATTACAACATAAATGTGTAAGATTTCCAAAGCCATCCCCACTAAAGTGGTCTATCACGTTAACACTCTTAAGTAAAGTTATATAAAGAAAAAAATAATACTTTAATTTTTAACTTACTATCAATAAACAAAAGATACTTTTTCTGTTATTGGTTATAAATATAAGAATAATAATATTATTATTTCTAAATAGATTAGAGATTGTCAAGTTAATTATTATAGACAATTGATTGATTTATTCTATAAAACATATTTGAAAAAGAATGTTGCACATCTTTTTCATTTTCACATGAACAATGAATTGTATAACAATTAATAAAGTTTATTAAAAAAAACCATTTAAAATGGTTGTGTGAGGTCGAATGCCTCTTTAGATGGATAGAGTCTAATACTTTCTCTTAAATCTGGCATAAATTCCTTGTTCAGTGCTTTTAATGCTTTCACTTTCTCGAGTAAAATTTTGGACTTTGTGATTTGGTCGATATCTGAAGGAGCGTTATTCACCTTTTCCAAAACCGCGATGTACTCGTTTTTAGCATAGAGATTTTGACATTCGGAGACCAAAACATATTCACATTTGTTGATTGCACACGTATGAGGTTGAACCTCTTTGTTTTCTTGATTGCTTTTAATTGATATGAGTTCCTCATACTTCTTAAAATTTGAATAATTCATTTCGCGATCAACAATTTTCTTTTGTGTTATGATTGCGTTATCTATATCACCAAGCTCTTTGTAAATCAACACAAGTCTTGAGTATCCTTTCACGAATGTTGGGTCTATTTCCATACATTTTAATACCGCTTCAAGTGCTTCTGAGTATCTTTTCAAGTTAAAAAGTACAGCGCTTTTATTTGAGTAATAGACATGGTTGTTTGGTTCCAGTTTAATAGCTTCATTGTAGTGCACAAGGGCATCTTCGAAATTTTGTTTTTTATAACACTCATTGCCAAGGTTCTTTTCTCTCTCCCCTGCACTTTTCTCCATATCTACTTTTTCGAGTTTTTCATTACAAATTGAAATTTAATTAGTTAATTCTAAAGAGATAAAATACCTAAAAAGTTCATTTATTAGTGAATTCGTGTGAAGTGAAAATCTGTTCCAAAGAAACTGGGCACGACGACGGCTTTTTTGTGTTGCAGACATTTAAGAACCCCTTATAAGTGTATCCAACAAAAGCAAGATTTTTCGTGTCATCCATTGGGATTTTTTCGGCCTCCGGTTTCTTCTCATCTTCAACTCTTCGAAGTTACTAGTGTCGAACATTGAAGATAGTTTTGGTTTGTA